AGCTTTAACTGACTCCTTTGTGCGTGGCTACCACGTTTATAAGGATGAATGGACACCCACTGTTGGCGAGAGTTTGAACTGCGTGCGAGAACCGCTGAATGAAAAGGACAAAAACGCGGTTGCAGTCACGCATGCGAGATGACTAAGTGCGGTCGGCCACGTGCCGCTGTCCTATTCACGCTGTGTAAGCCAGTTTTTGGAAATCAACTCGAGTACTGTAACATGCACGGTGACTGGAAAGAGAGTAAATCGAGGTGGTGGTTATGGTCTAGAAGTGCCTTGCCAGTATTCATTTAAAGGGAACTCGCTAGCTGTGAAATGGCTAAGTGAACGCATTGTGAAAGAAAGAAAGATAGTTGAGGACGCTTTGGCCAGGAATCAAGAAACAAAAACCAGCAGCAAGAGGAGGCAGCAAGGGGATAACAGTGGGGAAAGCTGTAAATCAGCAAAGAAAACACGAAAATAACTGTTTTAGATTACAATACCATTCGGTTGTCACCTCTAAGTTATTTTTTCAATGAGACAATGTCTGATTTAATTTTAACTTGTACCGTACAAGTATGTATTCCGCCGACAAGATAAGAGCTGTCAATTAAACGTCTGGTGTTAAAAAGGAGTCTCGGGTACTTGGTAATTTAAGAAGTTTTCTTCCCTACATCATAATTTGCGGTCACATTCAGCACCTCGCAAGTGTCCGTTGAAGATTTCAAAGCGTCCTTTGTTCGACTTATAGAGGTGTCCGTCTTACAGAGAGTTTAGTTATAGTAAAATGACTAAGAAACGGCCAGGACCAGCACCAGCTGTCCGTCTTATATAGAGGTGTCCGAGAGAGTTGACTGTGTATTACTAATCCTATGCGAACTTATATAGAGGTGTCCGAGAGAGTTGACTGTGTATTACTAATCGTATGCGAATTCGGATTGCTTGTTGGATTGCTTCAGAATAAGTACAACTTGTTGCATATTTAATTGACCACACCTGATAGTTTTCTGAATTACTCGTATATTAATGATAGTTCTGCAATCTCTAATTGATGGCATTCTCTCTTTTACTTGTCGTAAAAGTGTGTTATCAAAGA